TTGGAAATTTTAGCAGCATCAGTCAAAAGAAGTAGATGATCTAGGAGCTATATTCCATATCCTACTTATGGACTTATACGAGTAATGCTCACCAACAGAAGATGGGATCGATGGCCTGAGCAAGGGAAGCAGAGGCGAAACCTCGTTCAATCCTATTGGATATTCCAATCTCTTTCGCTGATTGCCAAAAAGAACAAACGAATCGTATGATAGTTATTAAATAGCTGTCTAAACAGAGATAAGATAAATGCAAATGATGAGCAAGGAAGTTGTCCTGACCAGCCCCGCCCGAGACCTTAACTAGTCACACTACCCGCCGTACCTTCCGCTCTGCCCCTCACTCGAACTTCGCACCAACTGCGGGGCACTTTTCGTCAACAACACATCCCGCAATCGACCTCTCACCCTCCCACCCTCCTATTCCCCTCACAAACTCCCACCGCCAAAATGTTTAAGAAAGAGTACGTCCCCGTCCCCAACAAATCCAGAACAACGTGTAGCTAATCTGGATTGTGATTGTCTAGTATGACCCCAGGCTCCAAGTCCAAAGTAAAGTCAAGCGCCCAGCGCGGGATCCGCGCCAAAGTGCTAGAATCATACCCGCTTCTCGAGCCGTACATTGAGGAGATCCTGCCCAAGAAGGAGCAACTCGACCTCGTCAAGCTGTGCGTCTCAATCCCTCCCAAATATCCCTCGCCATCCCCGTCGTCGCAATTCGAATCGACTTGTAGAATATACATGCATATGAGCGATGAGCTGACGAGTGTGAAATATACAGGCCTGACAGAGTCTCCCTCTACACCCTCGGCTCGACCCCCCTTTTCTTCCAGCACATGGACGACCCCATCATGCCGCATCTGACCCTCGTGCACAAATACCCCGACGCCTTCAACAGGCTACGTATCGACCGGGGCGCAATCCGCTTCGTGCTGTCGGGCGCGACACTCATGGCACCGGGCCTGACATCTCCCGGCGGCCGGCTGCCAGACGACGACGAGGATGAGGAGGGCAGGTATGGAGAGGATGAGCTGGAGGCGGGGAGCGTGGTGGTTATTGAGGCCGAGGGCAAGGACACTGCGTGTATGGTTGGGGTGCTGAGGATGGGGACCGAGGAGATGAAGAAGGTGAAGAAGGGGCAGGCGTGTGAAGCGGGTCATTATCTGGGGGATGGGCTATGGGGACTGAATTTGGGTTGAGTGGTCGAAGTTTAATCTGGATTGAGCATGTGTAAGGTGGTTTGCATGTCTACGCAGTGTTGAGACGGGGCATACGATGAAAGGAAACGCTAGAAGGCAATATCCCATCTGTCAGAGATTCTAGCCAGAGACATGCAGCTCAGGACTGTGCACGTCATGGCATAATAGGCGCAATGCAAGACACACCGGGATGTCGAATATGGAATCTGGTATCATTACTCTATTCGTGGAGACCTCGTGATGTATACAGGAAGATTAATCTTAGAACCCAATGCTTTATTTTCAACCCGTTCTTCTAAGCGGCTCCACCTCCCCGACCAGCACCGCCGGGAGGCCCGCCCTGTCCGCCCATGCCGCTCATGAAGTTCTTGGCCCTGTATCATGTCAGTCATCGTTCTACCTAACGACGAAAATAGGGACTTACATATCAGCGATGTTCGGATCGTTCATCAGGCTTGCAAGATCTGGCATGCCTCCTCCACCCGCACCTCGACCAGCTCCGGCTCCAGCTCCAGCACCAGCACCAGCACCAGCACCAGCACCACCTCCACCTGCACCACCTACGCCAAACCGCTCTGCCATTTGAGCAATCTGTGGGTTGCTCATGAGGTTGTTCATCATGTCGGGGTTACTCATCATGTTCTGTGCCATCTGCCTCATCATAGGGTTGTTCATGAGCCCAGCAAGGTCCGGCATGCCACCACCGCCGCCTCCTCCTCCAGCGCTACCTCCGCCGCCAAACATGCCCGCAAGCGCGGACAAGTCAGGCATGCCTCCACCCCCGGGGGCACCACGAGCCGCATCCGGAGCGCCAATGTCCCCGCCCTCCTCCTCGTGCTTCTTCTTTGCTGTCTCGTAGCCCTTGCGCATGACTTCTGATCCGCCACCCTCAGCATCCATGCCAGCCTTGTATGCCTCCATCGCACCCTTGGCGTCACCAAGTACATACTTCGCGAGCCCAAGTCGCGACCACGCCTTTGAGTACTTTGGATCTGCGGCAACGGCCATCTCCGCATCGTTCTTCGCATCTTCGTGCTTTCCCAGTCCCGAGAAGGCGGCGGCGCGGTTGGATAGGTAGATTGGGTTAAGCGGGATGAAGTTGAGGGCTTGCGTATATAAGTCGACGGCGGCGTTATAATCCTTCTTCTTCATCGCCTCGTTTCCCTTGCCCTTGAGCGACTCGGCCTGAACTTTGCTATCCTCGGTGGACGACGTAGCTGGCGTCGCGGGCCGGGCCTCGGACGCGGAGCTGCTGCCTTGTGTCGACGCGGTGCTCTTTCCCTTCAGCTTCTCGTAGACGCTGTAGATGGAGAGTAGGTTCTTGCCTCCTAGCGCATCTTGTAGGGCCGCTGAATCCGTGGGGTCCACTTTGAAGGCTTCGGCGATGCAGTTTGCAGCGATCTCGAGCTGCTCGGCGTCTTCGGCGGGCACTGAGCCGTCGGTCTGGGCCGTCTGGAGGAAGTCGAGGATTGCGAGTGCAAGACGTTGCTTAGACTGGTTGGTTGCCTAACTGGTTAATAGGGGAGGGGAGCTCGGGTGGCTGTTGAGAGCTCACCATGATGGCAATTGTGCGTGTGGAGGGGAGAGCCAGTCGGTCGAGGTGGGGGATGTAGAGATCAGGCGTAGGGAGGGGAATGTAGAGGTCGATGGAGGTGCCGCCTTTGTTTAAAGGCTATCGTGGACTTTCGGGGAATTTGGACTCGAAGATTCGGTGCGGCGCAAACCATGGCGGGGGTGCCAAGCAATTTATAACACGTGCCCTTCACATTCACTCACCTCTAATGTTCAACGAGTAAACTTCCTTCCAGTAGGTACAGAGTAACTTCAATTTCCCCTATTTTCTCGAAAACGGCTGTCCTGCCAGTGGGGCTGAGACATCCGCTCAAAGGTACCAAATCAAAGTACAGTGGTATATAATATTGTCATCATGGGCAAATCTCTATGCTACATTCCTATTCGTACAGCGGTTCGGCGAACCTATTCAACACAAGATTGAATTCGTGATAGTTTTCCATTCAGTCCTCGCTCAATCCCTCCCAGGGGTTATTTTTCTTCTCCGTCTTGGGCCAGACGGACTTCCACCACGGCTCTCCCTTCTCGCTTGCTATTCTCTTCGCTCGTTCTTCCGCATCAGCGTCCAATTCGAACTTCTGCATACGTTCTGCAATACGAGAATCTAGCACCATGTCGTCTAACCACACTCTCTCCCGCTCATCACCATCCTTGCGTTCTCGCACGCTTTTGTGCCACTCCGGCTCTTCGTGTTGAAGTAGCCGTTGCTGTTCCCATTTGCTGTTCCCGCCTTCATCTTCCTCGCTCACGTTTGAATTACTCATCTGAGATTCGAAACGTGACTCGCCAGGGCTATCAAAGGGTCGGTATACGGCAAGTACGGCGGCAGTGGTCTGTCGGCCAATCTCGTCGGCGGCTTGACGCCTGTTTAAGAAGCGGTACATTCGGATTGGGAAGTTAAGAAAGCCTAGGAGATGGGGCAGTGGGATCGCGGCAGCTGGGCCGATTGTAGATGGGCAATGTGGGGAGAGTGTAGAGTTGTTGTAGTCGGCGGTGGTGTTGAATGGAGGGGGCTGCTTCTTCCGCTTCGGCTTGCTCTCCTCCTCTTTTGGTTTCTCGGGTTCTTCTGTCTTAGCCGGTTCGGGTGCGGCGGTCGGGGATGCGTCGTCGGCTAGGAGCTGACTCGGAGGTGTTGCGTCTTCTGATGTAGCTTCGGCTGGAGATGCTATGGGCACCGCAGGATTCTCCACAGCTGGTGCTGACGCTGGGATGGGTGAATCCAATGGCCCTAGCCATCCCTCATGTAGTCCCCTAATGTACTCCTTCCATGTGTGCCGTCCAATGACGATGTCGCCCCCAAGCCCATCCCACTCCCGCACATCTGCCCTCTGTCTTGACATTTCGAGCACGTCTTGTGAATCCTCCTCCAACGGCTCCGCAGACTGCTCCCCCTTCTTTTTCCTCAGTCTCCGTATCCGTTCCGCCAGGCCGGCCCTCACATCGCCCTCCCTCCTGCCCTCCACCGCGTCCCAGTCTAGAGCCGCAGCGACTAGTATCGGTTGAACGTATTCAATGAAATGCTCGCGCGCCTGGACTATGCCATCGCCTGGCGGTGCGGAAAGGTACATGGTAAGTTTCCGAGGCAGCTGTTTTGGGTCCATAGGTTCCTGCGCGATGTGCTCCACGGCCTTTGCCCATTTCCGTTGTATGCGCTTCTTCTCACGCCGGTCATAATAGACGGCTGCGCTCCATGTACCGGTTATTGTGAGAAATATCGACCAATTGCGCGACGGGAGTTTGAGGCGGAAGTTGGGGAGGCCTGGGTAGTTAGGACTTGTGAAGCAAAGATTAGAGCAAAATACGCACCCATCATTCTCCATACTGGATTCGGCGGCTTGGGCGCCTTCGCAGGCCGCGATGCGGCGCTGCTAGGCTGGGACCCTTTCGCATCCGGTTCGGCCATGTTGGAGTGGCTTTTGGAGGAGGGCGGTTCGAGGTGTCTTGCGACCAAATTTTTGGGAAGTTGCGCGGAATTGAGTGGGAGCGGGCATCGCGGACTGCTCCCTATCACTCGGTACAGAGAATTCAACTTCGTGCTAGCGGGCTTCAAGCGCTGTCTAACTGGTCTGAAATCTTTTATGAGTCAAAGCTCAAAGCGGGGCTATTCCCACAGATTCTGTTTGATTGAAAACTGCACGATGATACATGAGGGGATCTATTAATCTCCAGGATGACCTTCTGTACATCTAGCGATTTATTTCTGGAATAAACATATTCAATGAACTGAACCAAGCCGTGATAGTGTAGCGGTATCACAGTGCCTTGTGGAACGACACGGCACTAACCTGGGTTCGACTCCCAGTCGCGGCATGATTTATTATGCCTGATTGCATTGGTATACATTCTTTTTGCTTCCGAAACGTTGGCGTGGCTGCCTCTTATGTTTTTTGAGGCCCGAAGGTTTCCGAGAATATGCGACGCTAGCATTGCCATGGCCTACCACTTCATATCTCGCTCCGCCTTTGCTACCTTCTCCTTGGTTTTTTTTGTTTTTTGGACAGAGTTTCATTGGTTTTATGCATCGAGGTGGTTCCAGTAAGCAGTGATTGCACGCATTGTTCAATGAATATCCCTTCCTCTCTGGCTGTACCTGAACCTGAGACTGCTCTTGGTCTTTGAGCGATCTCTTCATTACGTTCTGCTATCGAAAGCGACTATACGAAGGAGCTATATTTTTCCTAAGAGATTATCTAATTATCTCTTCTGGAGTAGTAAAGAATTTTTTAGCAACTGTAGTAGTGCTTTGGAGGGCTTATGTAATTGTTCTGTCGACGGGGTTCTTAACAAATAGAACCCATGTCAGTATTGATCTCAGATTGGATGGAGATGGATGGCGATATGTCATCCGTCAGCATCCTAGAGTCGTTTCTATCTGCCCCTCACCACTGTCTCCACACACACACACACACACACACACACACGACCTGCAACTCCAACATTATGGCCATACCCCTGATCCTTACGGTCCCCGATGAGATTCTCTTGGCCATCCTCTTTCGAATTCAAGGGCTTCCACGCGACAAAACCAAAGACCTGATCAGTCTCTCCATTGTGTGCAAGCGCTTCCGACAGGTTGCCCTTGACCAATTGCTTCTGAATCCTTCCGTTCAGCTCTGGAACGTACCCGGACTTGTCAGAATGTATTTCAAGCATCCCCGCCTAGCAGCCAAAGTTCGAGCGTTAGAGATAAAGACCCCCATCGAGGCACTCCGACTGGGTCAGCCGATTGAAGCTGAAGACCTTGCCGAGGCGGGATATTTTTTTGCCGCCCCAAAGCTCGATGCAGGGCTCATACGTTCCTGCAATTTGTTTATAGAGAGGTTTGACATTACTACCGAAAACAAGCACCAATGGGTTGAACACCTTCAGAAGGACCGCGATTATGTTTATGCTTTCCAGGCACTCTTGGTAGTCATGCTTCCCAACCTAAAAAATGTGTTTCTTGGTTTCAATGCTTTAAGCAACTATCCTATCCTTGGGAGCGTATCGTTTGGTCCCAATGGCCCGTCTTGTAGTGAACACCCACAACATTTACTCCGCTGGAAGCCTTGGACGTACAATTACCTGAAGGATATATCATCTATAATCATGGCAAAGCTCTGCTGGTTGGAGCTTCCATATGCCTCCTCATCGTGCGCAGGACACCAAACTACAGAACCAGACTTCGACTTCACACGTCACACCTCCTTGACTCAACTCAGCATCTGCGCTAGCCTTCTTTCCGATTTGAATGGCGCCGTTAAACCCCCAACCCGTATGCTACCCACAACTCTCGAAGTCTTAACCATTACTTCCTCCCCCGTCGATCAGCTCGCCACCTTCCTAGAATTGCTAGTATCTACACCCAAAAATCTCTTCCCTGCATTGGGCCGGGTTGAATTATATTGTGCTTGGGGATTTCCAGACCACAACTTGCAACAAAGGTCGCCGTTACAATATCGTAAGAAGATGGCCGTGTACAACTGTGCTTTAAAGGGGAGCAAAGTCGGAATTCATGTCATTCAGAGGCATACTCCCAATGCTTACTACGCCCACGTGAGAAACCGAATGTCAACAGAGTATACCGACGTTGAGCTTCGAGTATTCGAATCTCGAGGTTTCTTTGGGGGGCTGTGCAGGCTGAGCGACTCTCAAAACGTTGTGCAGTAATAGTGCCGAGTCGCAGTTGTGCAATAATAGTGCTGACTCCCGAAATATTGTTCAGTAATAGTACTGTCTTTCGCTCGCCAGTGCATTATTTACTAGTCACCATCACACCCGATAACTTTCAAATACTCAACTCATTTATTCAGCTACTGGGTTGTGCATATCAACACTCACTTTTACCTTCGCCTACAGTCACACTAAATAACAATCACTAGGACACTCAAAATGTCGATCTCAAGTCTCTTGTATCTCCCCGATGAGGTCCTTCTCTTGGTGGCTTGCTCCGTCCACGGCGTCGAGGACCGGCAGAAGACTCTTGTCAATCTCAATTAAGTGTGTCGTCGCTTTCGCCCCATCGCCACCGAGGCAATGTTCGAGCGACCGGTCGTCATCTATTCACCATTTCGAACTTGGTGCGCATGCTTCTCAAGTACCCGACCATAGGACCCAAGATGAAGCCTCTTGAGATCCGCTCAATGATTGCACCGTCCACAACTCCTAAATGCGACCCAAACTATACTCATGAATGCGTTCCAAAGCGCAATGCCGTATTCGACCTCAAACTTGTACACTTGGGAGCGACTGATCTGTTCTACCTCAGCATGTTAATTTACTCGTGGAATGATCAAGAACTCCCACCTCACTGGGGAATAGGATACATCTACAAAAAATTACAAAATTTCGTACCCCTGCGCCGAAAATGATTATGCTTGAGACGCCGACTGAGCGGCTGATGAACAGAATAGGTGATTTGGATGGACCGCCCTTGAGCTTTATGGACCTGACGTCTGTTCGCCATTTGGTAGTTTCGGCGTACCCGAGTCGGGTTTCCCACCAAACCTCGAGACACTGATTATATTCGATGAGACGCAGCAGACTACAGAAAGACGCACAGATTCGCTGCGAGGCACGCCCACGGAAATTCATGGCGATATATAAAAGAACAAATTTTAGAGCCGGGGAAAGCAAATGCTCGGCGATGGAAAGAGAACTTGGAGAGAAAGAAATTTTCCCGCTTGCTTTGCAAATGAGTTATGAAAGACGTAATTATTCTTATACTTCGGGAGCAGCGTTTTTAAGGTGAGTAGACGGAAGACTAAGAGAGTCATGGGAAAGGCCCTTGATAATGACACTGATGTTTAACATATAAATCGGAATGGCCCGTAATTCTACATTTCGAGAGCGTATTTATTTAGAGGCACAGCTTACATGATTTGGTTTACGGCGATTAGTATATCTGTGCGCTATGGTTTATAACGTTTGTTAAGTAGATAGGCTAAATTGTGCTATATTCAGTTTTTACGAATCAAAGGACCTATATGGACTCCTTGCTGTAGGGTGGCCCTTTCATTGATTTGGCCTGCTTTAAATTTCTTGCGTGGAAATAGTCTTCGCCAAATAAACCATTAGGATCATACTTACGTCGGCAACGACTAGTAACTATGAAAAAGCATGGTTATATCCGACCGAGACATTTCGAGCTCTATTTTCTTGTTGTCGGTGACACAAGATTTATATTAGAAGAAAAAAGGATTCTTGCACAATTCGGATCCGCGACAGTGCAACAGCTGCTTAAAATCTCGAAGAGCTGTTGCGCGTGTGAAACTTCATTTCTGTCCTCATGATATACGATTAATCTATACTGGCAGCACAGCCTGTTTTACTATCTATGGAACGCTCTTGGCATTTATTCCTTGTCGAATGATAGAAAGCAAGGTCTTGCCAAGAGCCTCGTTGATGAACGAGGCACTCTACGGTGTTCAAACTAGCAGGGGGGCTGGGTAGACGCATTTTGCTTGGCCGTTTATTTTAACGTCTTACTTCGGCAGTCTATGGATGCGGTCTTATGATGCCGATTGTGTCAATCGAAACGACAAAGTTTCACACACTGGGCTCCTCCAACACCAGAAGATTGGACATTGTGAACGTTCTCGATTCGACAGCTACTCCTGCATTTGAAGCATATACACTAGCACATATATCATAACAAGCATCCATACGATTCCTCGAGATGAGTCCGTCCAAACTCTAACGAGCTTGAAGACTGAGTTTACTCAAACTTGTGACTGGGCCCCTAGCCAACCAACGAAATCTCTGCTTCTAGATAGAAAGTCTAACAGAGTTTCTGTTTCTTGGTCCAGTCGCACATTTGAACCCCAACACAACTGCAGCACATGCACGCCTACACTCATCAATCAGCTGACCCGGCCTACAAAAGACCCAAGTGCATTTCTGGTTACCTTTCTAGCCCTGTCCGCATTGTCTTTTCCGTCAATACACTGCAGCGTCTGAGCATTGTTGAAGCGATTTTGGTTGTAACAGGCGTTGGCATTGATGACGTCGGCGCATTCGTCTGTTCTTGCGAGCTCTTTAGTGCACACGGGCGCTGTTTGGCCAAAGGTCATGGCGAACCACATCGCGATGAGTCCGAATGAGAGCTTCATTTCGTAAGTGTGGTGGAAACGTTTTCGGGAGTGGAAGAAGATCGAGATAAAGATGTCAGCCCAACAGATTCACAACTGGAGTTGTGTGGATATTTCAGGAAGTAGTTGAAGGACGGCAGATTCGAGAAATGCATAGATATATTGATGATACTGAGATCCCCGGTGTGTATTCTTGGCAAGGAGATGGCCTTGATTATGTGCATGCTTCTCCAATAATCGGTAGTATGTCTCCGCTCGCCAGGAGCCACACATGAAGCCAGATGCATAGTGCGGGGAAGTGCGGAGAAGACGGCAAAGCGGGGAACCAAGACTAATTATTCTGGTCTTGTAGGTCTTGATAAAGTCTTAAACTTAATTGCGTGTATGCGAGACGCGCATTGGTCATCGCCGATATTAATTACTATCAAAATAACCCGTTCGGCAATCGCAGTATGATGTAGTATGCTGCAGTATTAATGAATGATATTCAGCACTCTAAATTCGACCATAACATGTTATTGGGGTGTAGAGAACCGGCAACTGTTTACTGTGTTAGGTTTCCAGGGTTAGAACCATAACTACCCCATATGTCTTCTACTACCTGACTTCCCCATCGTTGCTATCATCGTTGACGAAACCGACATCTCGTTATCAAGATGAAGTTGAATATATTCGTCACCGCCTTAGGGCTGTTTGCGCGCACCAACGCACTGCTTCGATTCGGATGCGCTCAGCTTACCG